CACCTCTGTCCTCAGCCAGGCTTTCCTCCCCCTGATCTGTGCAATAGGCAGCTGCCTGTTCAGGATAGGAATGGCATCCCCTTTTGCCAAAGGCATCTCTGAGCCTTCCTCCTTCATCCCATTTGTGTTTCAGGTTTCCAAGGAACAGCGGGACCCTTTCACAGCCATTTGAATGGAGTTTGCATGGGGTTCGGGCTCCTGGTGTGGCCCCTGGCCTTGCCAAGCTTGCAGCACCCATTTTGCAGGCAGGGATGTCAGCAGTGGCCCTGGGCCACCAGCTGCTGAGGAGGGACGGTGGCTACATCACCTCCCGGCATGGCATCTCTGGGGGGCTAATGCGAACGCCAGCCCAATGCAACAGCAGTCTCCAGCCCAGGGCTTCTCACCTGTCTGTCTGTCTTTCCCATGGCGGCACCGTGCGCTGTGGGGGTGTGTTGGGGTGGAAGTGGTAAGTGGGTTTATTTTCGTTTGTCTCCTGGCTTGTGCCGCTCCGAGCTTGTGGCACCCGCTATTACTAACGCTTCCCTGTGCCAGCTGGCAGCAGGGGATGAATCAGATCGGCAGCACCATGGCGCAGACCCCTCGCCGTCCAGCCAGCTTGGGGCGATGCCTCTGGCCAAAGCGCTGGTGGTGTCTCCTGCCTCTGCCCAGGGTGATCCCTGGCACCAAAACGCCAGCGGCTTGATCTCGCTGCCAGAGATCTCATCTCACCTGCAGTAGCCTGCAGGGCAGGGTTGTCCCCTCTGCCCCATGCTGTCTGCCAGAGCCAGCTGGTCCCTGTCCCTAAGGCACGCCAGAGGTCTCAGGTGGCTTCATGAGCTCCTCTCTGCCACTGGCAGCATCCCTGAGCAAGCTGGGGTTGGCTCTGCGGCCATGGGGACCAGCTCGTCATCCTGCTGCCAAAAAAGCGCTTCTGCAGTTGATTGGTTCCTCTCCCTCCCCGGTCATGACCTCACACGAGGTGGTGAAGTCACATGATGACATCACAGACCTCGGTGATTCCGGTTCTCCCCATAGCAAAGACACAGAGATGCCTGGTCCTCCCCTCCGCTCCCTCCCCCACACCCCAGCGATCTAAATGGAGGGATTTCAGTGACTGCCTCTTCCCCCACGAGCATCGCTGAAGCTGCAGAAGTTGGCACACTGCTTGTCAGTGTCACCTGCCTGCGTGATCTGGGCTCCAGGAGGATAAATTGGATCCTTCCGCTTGCTGCAGCCCAAAGCATTCTGAAAAATGTCATGGCTGCTTGGCACCTCTGGGACAATGGAGGGGGTCTGCCCAGAATCTCAAGGCTTGGAAGATGATGATGATAACGATGACAATGATGACGAATTCAGCTACCCCTGCCACTCTGCATGTCCTCCACCCCAGTGCAAGAGCCATGACAGCTCAGGTGACAGTCAGGTGGAAGATCTGGGGGAACCCATCCCATTTTCCCTAAATCCCAGGCACTCTTACATGGTGAAAGACGAAGGAGTGAAAAATAGAATATATGCCAAGACGTTGGCCAAGCATACACTGGAGCTTGAGGAGGAAGCTCAGGAGCTTCAGGAACCATTTTACAAAGACACAGAAATGCCTGGCAGCTTGTCTGAAGATGAGGACCACAGCTGGACCAGGACCTATCACCTTCCTGGGCATCAAAGGTCGCACATGTCCCGAGCTGCCAGTACGCCACTGTGCAGCCCCTATGACTCTTTCCAGTATGGCATGGGCAAGCACTTGGGGATGGATGCGTTTGCCCCATGGGCCCACACCACTGACCCTTATCTGGGGCACCCAGAGTGCACCAGGGGAGAAAAGCCCCACATGCTGCATGAGGAGGCCATCGGGGACAGGGAGTTGCCATCCCTGCAGCTGACCAACGATGTGCTCAGGGAGGAGAACGCCATGCTCAGGAGGGTGGTCGGGAGCATGCAGAGCTCCTTAGAGAGCCAGGCGTGCACGGTGCGAAGGCTGGAGAGGCAGCTGAAGGCCAGCCTGGCCAAAGAGGAGAGGGAAGTCCAAGAGCTCCAGTCCTTTGTTCAGTGGACTGAGCGGAGTCTCCAGCTAATGACCCAGCGGGCTCTGGAGGCAGAAAGCAATGTGGAGAATCTGAAGCAGGAGATCTTTTTTCTCCAGGGAGAGCTGGAGAGCTCCAAGGTGGAGAACGAAAACCTGAGAGCGAGCCAAATAACCGACCTGGGGGCTGTGAAGCACAACATAAGCTTTGCTTTGCAGAACCTCCACAAGATAATAACGGGAGCAAACTGGTCCATCAGACAGCTCACCTCTGGAGCGGAGTCACTGCATTTTGTTGCTGAGGTCCTTAAAACTACTGGCAAAATTTCTGAAGTTGAAGCAGAAAAAGAGTTATGAGCTCAATTCTGTGTGGGTCCTACGGATGAGTGTATGGGCTGAGATGACTGGTCTCCCACTACAGTCTATACTAAAACCATTTGCTCTCACGTGCTCAGATGTGTGTGTTCAGATTCATAGCCTTCGTTCTTTCATGGAAATACTTTTCTTGTTATCAAGTACAAATTGCAGGTAGTGATTTAGTTTTAGCTGCTGATGCTCTGTTCTGGTACTGCAGAGCCAGCAGCAAATGTTTCCCAGGCTCTGAGCTGCAAGGTCCAGCTGTGGTGGGCTCTGCGCAAGACACTGTGCCACTGTTCTGGCTGACTTGAGCTCCCGTGTGGGAGCCAGGAGGAAGCACAGCAGCACGGGATGCAGCACTCTTAAACAATGTGCCCATCCCTTCCTGCAGCTGTACCAGCCAGAACCAGAGGTGAGCACAGCCCTTGTGGTACCTGCATTCCATCTGCTTCCTTTGCCCCTTCTCAGTGAGGTGGGGGAAGGTTAGGAGCAGAGATCCGCGTGCTAGTGCACATAATTTCAGTGGACAGAAGCTCCTTAGGGTCCTCCTTCCTCTTCTTTTAGAGGTAGCCACTACCTGGGCCAGAAATCCGAAGTCTCTAGAAATTGTGCACCTGTTCCTGCAGCTGGGGAAAGGGGTGGTAGTGGTGGTCAGAAGCCTTTAGGAAGTTGTGAAGCATCCCTACGTGAGCTGTGGCAGTGCCTTTCCTCCTGTATCAGTATCAGTGATGGCTAAGAACAAGCTTGGCTTATCCAGGCTGGCTAAGGAAGGCTCCGGTTGGAGAGGATGCCCTTCCTGTCCTGGCTGGAGCTGGCATAGAGGGGTATACCTAAATTGTCCACCTTTGTCACCTCCTAAAGATCTGTGGGACCCTGCAGTCCAAACTCACCATGTAATCACTGAAGATACATCTTAGCTTTATCCTTGCGGGACCATCTCTGGGCATGAAGTGACCTTTCATCATCACCTGGTCATCCCTCAACATTTCTCATGAACTTAGGTTACCGACCCCAGTTTCTGCTGTAGGTTTACCCAACTGCACAGCAAAATTTCCCGTATGTGGCCAAACTGACCCTCCTTTAAAGACTCAGACGCTGGTAGTGTGGCGAGGGAGTGGGTGCTGGCAGGCTTCAGCGCCAAAGTGCTTTTTCCTGATGGGAATTTTTACACAGATGTTCACTTTTACCTCTATATGGTGAGTTGTGGACTACAAGGTTGCTGTCTTCTCCTGGTCCCATAATATCCCTGGCCTGAACAACCATGTTTGTGTTGCCACAGGGCATAAACTGCCTCAGTAACATTGGTCTCTGGAGGAGAGACTGCTGGTTAATTTTCATTCCAGTTGTGACAATGCCCATCACAGGTGGTGTCTGGAGCTCCTTACTTGCTGCTTTCTAGTCTGTGCTCCTAACTGAGGAAAGTTGGTGGCCACCCTTAGCCACATGAAGCCCCATTCTGCAACCCTGATGATGAGACAAGGGTGGTTCTCACCAGCTTTTCTGTCCCTGACAACATTACTTGCTGTTCTTCTCTCCTGTCTGTGCATGACCATTTGCAAGCAGTTCTAAACCTTGGATTTGACCCAGAAATCCTTGGATTTGTCCCAGCTATGGTAACCACTGGTTGCTCGTCAGTGAAGCTGGGAGGAAGTGAAATAGCTGGCTGTGTCTGCGACATGCGCTCTGCACAGGTTACAGTACAGGATTAACATGGGTGTACAAAGCCCTTCCTAATCTGTGAGTCATTACCACCTCACCACATTTCACTTCCCAGCAGCTCTGGGCAGGCGGGATAGGTCGGCTCTTGAGTCTTCGGTTTCCCCATTCTTCACTTCAGGGAGGACCGGGTTGGGACGTAACATCTGCTGGACATCCTTCCCAGGGTTCTGCTGCTGAGCTGCTCCTTGGATGCTGTACGCAGGGCATGTTGCAAGGTCTGTTTGCTCTAAATGGCTTCTTCTTGGCTACCTCTAAGCCCTTACTTTCCATCAGTTCTCCCTTTTGGCTCTACCCATCACTTTTCTTCTCTTTGAAACCAGGGGGGGATGTTCTGCACCCCCTGGAAATAAATACCCTCTGGGTCAGGCTGGGCTGACGGGGATCCCTGAGGGCTGCCATGCATTATTAGTCCTTGTGTGCAAGGTATTTAGCCTGGCTGAGCTCTCGTCCTAGTGTAAGCTATGACATTAATATAATGGCTCAGGGCAAGGGCCTTGCAAGCTGCTCAGTCGTTGTGCCCTTGATCTGGAGAGCAGTGACTAGCCAGCCCTGCACCTCTCCCGTCGGTAAGTGCCAGGGAGCGTGGGGGCTGCGGGCTGTGCAACCTGGTCTTCATCCATCAGCTGCTCATCTGCCCGAGCCAGGCTGCGGCATGGTACCCCATGGACGCCTCCAGACCCCTTCTGAGCAAAAGGCTGGGAGCCCTGCACCCCCTGCTCTGGGACTGGGATGGGTGCTGTCAGCGGAGGCTCTGACTGGGTTTTGCTTCATCCTTCTCTGCAAGGCACGTGCCCAGGAGCAACCGCAATGGCAGCACAGGCTCCAGCTTGCCGGAGGTGAAACCCGGAGCAGCCCGGTCCCATGTGAGTGCTGCTGTATGAGATCCCGCACCCCCCCAGCTCCTGCAGCCCCCTGACACCTGATGATACAGCGAGCCATGGGCAGCATCCGAGTCAACCGGTAAGTAACCCCCTTCTCAAGGACTGCTTCTGCCCACAGTGGCCTGGTCCTCTTCATCTGGCCCCTCAGGCCCTACCTTCAGCCTGCCTTTTGGTATATTCTTCTCAAATCATCTGTCAGAGGCTTTCCTGCTCCAAGGTATGGCTCTTCTCTCCTTCTCCAATCCAAGACATGCCATACATGGGGGCAGTGCTCAGAGGAGGAGTCCTACCGGGGAGAAGCAAAGCGCTGCATGGTGCTGGACCAGAAATTACATATTCCAGCAGTGCTGCAGAAGCCCTCTGTCCCCAGGAATCACAACTCCAGCCATGCATGCTTCCCCTGCTCCCTCTTCCCACGAAAGGAGGACGAGGGTCACGGAGCCCATGCTGGAGGGCTCCAGCTGGCATGTCAACACTATGGGGTGGGAGGGATGCACTGCCAGCCCGACAGATCCTGGAAAACCATGGCTCGGAGGTCACGAGGGCAGAGTGGTCTTTGTGAGTCTGTGCACTCCCTTGATTTCCTCAGTGGTCAGAGCATCTTCTGCCATCATGTCTTTAAGGAGTCTCTGCAACTGTAGACCCAGCAGCACACAAGGGGCAGCGGTGGTGCCGCCTGCAAGGGAGGGGAGTCATAGGGGCAAACATCTCCCAGAAAGTGTGTGGGGAGCTTCTCCCAGGGAAATCTGCCAGCACTTGGCTGTTGATCTCCAAATTACACCTTTGGCTTCGGATGCGGGATGCTGGGAGCCATGCGCGTTGCTGTGGCAACAGAATTGTCCTGAGCTCAGGAAGTGTATAAACATTGTCACCGACGCACCATGAAATCAGTGAGGAGAGCGGAGGAGAAAATAGAAACTCATGGCCTTATATAATGTCAGGGCCAAAATGTGGCCAGACTGCAGGCACTTGCTCCCAGGCTTCCTGGCTGTCCCAGCTGCCTTCAGGTTTTGAAGCCTTGGGTCCCGCCTCACCACAAAGGCTGGAAGGAAGCACAGTGCTACAAGCTTCTCCTGTTTTGCTGCCCTGTCAGGACTTTGCTAGATACAACCTCCTGGCAGCAAGACTCAGCAAATATTGCAGCTGAGCTCCACCAATCTGGTCAGTGTGGCACCACAGTGCAATAACCAGGGAAGCATGCTGTTGTAAACTTCAATGCCATGCTGACATAGCCCTGTGAGCCACCCATGTGTCTCCCACCCTTGCTGTCTCAGTGGTTGTTGTTGTTCTTCATGTATTTTTGCTGGAAACATCTGCTTCTTCTCTTCCAGGTATAGCATCGTCTCGACTGAAGAGGATGGACACAAGGTCTCCGCACTAGGCAGCATGAATGGGCACAGCCGGAACGGGAAGGGCCATGCCCCCCGGCGGAAGCACCGCAACCGCTTTGTGAAGAAGAATGGCCAGTGCAATGTCTACTTTGCCAACCTGAGCAACAAGTCTCAGCGCTACATGGCCGACATCTTCACCACCTGTGTGGACACGCGCTGGCGGTACATGCTTATGATCTTCTCTGCCACCTTCCTGGTCTCCTGGCTCTTCTTTGGCTTCCTCTTCTGGTGTATCGCTTTCTTCCATGGCGACCTCAATGCACCGGCAGTGGGAGGTGGTCCCTCTCTCCTCAAGCCCTGCATCATGCACGTGAACAGCTTCCTAGGGGCTTTTCTTTTCTCAGTGGAGACACAGACAACCATTGGGTACGGCTTCCGCTGTGTGACTGAGGAGTGCCCGCTGGCCATCATGGCAGTTGTGGTCCAGTCCATTGTAGGCTGCGTTATTGACTCCTTCATGATTGGCACCATCATGGCCAAGATGGCGAGGCCCAAGAAGCGGGCCCAGACCCTCCTCTTCAGTCACCATGCGGTCATCTCTGTGCGGGATGGCAAACTGTGCCTCATGTGGCGGGTGGGCAACCTGAGGAGGAGCCACATTGTAGAGGCCCATGTCCGAGCCCAGCTCATCAAACCCTACATGACAGAGGAAGGGGAATACCTCCCCCTGGACCAGCGGGACCTCAATGTGGGCTATGATGTGGGCCTTGATCGTATATTTTTGGTCTCACCCATTATTATCGTTCATGAGATTGATGAGGAGAGCCCGCTCTATGGGATTGGCAAGGAGGAGCTGGAGACGGAGAACTTTGAGATTGTTGTTATCCTGGAGGGGATGGTGGAAGCCACAGCCATGACCACACAGGCACGAAGCTCTTACCTCGCTAGTGAAATCCTTTGGGGTCACCGTTTTGAACCAGTTGTGTTTGAGGAGAAGAACCACTACAAAGTGGATTATTCGCGCTTTCACAAGACCTATGAGGTAGCCGGCACGCCTTGCTGCTCAGCCCGGGAGCTGCAAGAAAGCAAGATGACTATCCTACCTTCTCCCCCACCTCCCAGTGCCTTCTGTTATGAGAATGAGCTGGCTCTTGTCAGTCAAGATGAAGATGAAGACGATGACGAAGTGGGTGTGGTGTTAGGGGGCAGCACTAAAGAAGAGGGGGGCGTCATCCAGATGATGGATTTTGGAAGCCACCTGGACCTTGAGCGGCTCCAGGCAACTCTGCCCCTAGATACAATCTCATACCGCAGGGAGTCAGCCATCTAACTCCTCCAGCCTCCCCATTCCACACCCGTTGCCCATCATCTCCTCCTCCGTTCTGCACCTGTATGTAGCTGGATAAGTCCCTTGCCCACCAAAAAATGCCTCCTGTGACTGTCTCTCAGCCCCTGAGTACATCAAGGCCTGGAGCTGCTCTGATATACTCCTTTTCCCGTGAAGTCATACTGCCTGGAAGAGGAGTGAGGATACACTACTCTTCCCATGTGTGCAGCTTGTGGTAGGACCCCTTTCCTACCCAGAGACAGGAGAGCAGCACACCTGGTTTCTCACCTCTGGAGAGGCGACAGGAGTCCCTGCCCTCAATGGACGGACCAGGACCCGCAGCAAGTGTTTCTGCTGCTGAGGCAACAGCAGACTTTCTGTCCCCTCTTGACGTGGGTAGGCCCCATGGCTGTCAAGAGTCATGACCGTCACTAGGAGAGGAGCGATACCTAAGCACTGACCAGATGAGGATGGACGGGAGAGTTCAGGACTCCTGGAGGGAGTGGGGAAGGATGTCAAGGGAGGGGTTTACTTGCATGTTTATTGCCTGTTGCACATGACTCTTTCTTTGTATATAAAACAGAACGAGAACTGAAATCCATATTCTTCCACTGCAAATGCCAAGCTAGGAGACAAGGACGCTCTATGTAGCCTACTCTGCACTCTCCTTGGCTTTTTGGCATCTGTCACCTCCAGAAGCAGCTCGGCTCCATGGACTCAGACACAGTTCTCCCAGTCCTCTTGAAAAACACGTCCTGCTCCTCTCCTGAGACACCTGGCAGAGGAGGCAGGGCCCTGTGCTTGCACACTCAGACTGCTCCCTGGCACAGCGTGGCCGGGATGACAGACAAGTGACCTGACTGGACAGCAGACCCTCGACTTGCTCCTTTCACTTCCTCCGTTCTTCTCCCTGCTGCCATCAGCTGTAAAACTGAATTTGTAACTATTTATTTTTAATAAAGTCTAATATCCCAGGGGGAGGTTTGGAAGCAAAGGAGAGACCCCAAGGCTGCAGCCCGGTGTAGAGACTGATGAGAGTTATTAGTGCTGGTGTTTGCTGTTTGTATGGCATTGGTGCCTGGAAGCTCCACAACGAGGGCTCCCCTGTTCTGGGCCTCCCTGGTAAAGACCTACAATAAGAGGCTCAGAGAATTTGCTCGGGGAGAAGATCATACAAAATGTATGTATGGAAGGAAGCATTTGCATTAAAATTACCAGTAGGATGGGCCAAACATCCTGCTTGCTTTGGAGATAACGAGAGTTTTGCCCAGGGAAGGGTTATAGATATGCTTGATGAAGAGGCAGAGACATGCAAGACACTGCTCTAGATATAAGGCTCAAAAAAAACCCCAAACCAACCCCGGAACCTTTTTTTTTTTTTTTTTTTTTTTTTCTAGAGGCAAGTAAGAACTAGAGGAAACAAGGGAAGGCATCAACCAGACCTAGACCTGTAACACCACTTTGCCGTCATTTCACAAAAGATGCAAAAACCTAATGAACCTTTTGCTTTAGAAGCAGCAGAATTACTCCTTCAAAACTGTAGATGATATGAGGACAGAAAGACAAACAGGTAGCTCAGGAAGCTGCTCTGGGCACCCAACAGTTGTGCTATGGGGGGAATGGCTGAAGAAATTATGTCCCACCCAACCCCTGATCTACAAAGCAGAAAAACAGCATCTTGATATCAATTTGGAATTGGTTCAAGAAGCAAGAGGAAGCGGGGAAGAAGCAGAAGGGGAAGGAAGGAAATAGCAGGAGTGAGAGGAAGAAGCAGGCACAGCAGGCAGGCGGAGGAGGAGGAAGGGAAAAAGAAGAAGAGAAAGTGAGTTAATATGGGAGTGCGTTTGAGAAAGAGTGGGGATAGATTAACAAGACTGGTCTAGACCCAGATGTGGCCATTTCTTGTCCTGGCATGCAGGTTCTGCAGTGGAAAAGCTGCCCTGCACGGGTTTGCTCTGCACCCAAGCAGTGATCTGACACCTTCGGGAAGCCTTGCCAAGAACAGAAGAGGAGCTGGAGGGAGGCTGAGAGACGAGCAGACAGGTGAAAACCAAGGAGCAGAGCATCAGGAGGGGAGCAGGCAAAGGAAAGGCATCACTCCTGATGCCTCACTCTCCTCCCGTTGGGCACAGAGTGGGAACAGGAGCTCATGGATCCTGGCTTTTCCCATGTATGACTTGATACACAGTCTTATTTTTCCACATGGGTCCCTGTCCCACCTCTCCTCCCCATTGCTAATTAATGAAGTCTCTCCCTCCCTCCTTTTATTATTTATTTATTTTCCCCAGGGGGAATAAGCAGGGGCTGGTATTGACCTGGCTTTTAATACAGCTTTCAGAGCTGGGTGCCTGCCACTGGCCACGGCAGTGGAAACAACCTAATGGACCGAGAGAGAAGGACTCTGTGTGAGAGGACACAGGCATCCAGGACACGGACTGAGATGGTGGTCTCCAGGAGAGGGGGAACCCGCATGGCTGGGCACCCCCCTGCCAAGGTACAGCATCCTTCGGAGGCAGACAGCAGCGCTTGGTGAGGATAAAGCGCCCACAGCTTGTTAGCTCTTGGGAGGCTCATCTCCAAGAGGGACCCTGGGCAAGGATGGGGCAGCTGAGGTGCACCAGGGCCATGGGCATGCACGGCCAGGGCGGTGGAGGTGGCACACAGGCTGGCACTGCCACCCTTCACTTCAGATGATGTGACTCTTGGGGGAAAAATGGGTAAAGGTTGCAATAAGGCTAAGGGAACAAGCAACACACAGCCACGCTGGGATCCCAGCCCCTTCTGTACGTTTGAACCTGCTGGCCCTTTTCATGTCATGTTTGGCATCATGGTGGAGAAGACACTGAGGCATTGAGGAAAAACCAGCTAAAGCCCTGCTGTTCATGATAAAACTGGGATAAAGCTGGCAACACTATCACATTGTTAGAGAGTGGAGAGAGCTGAGGAGGACCCCAGGAAGAGAAGGGGGCTGAAGGAAGGGGACAGAGGGAAGGAGAGGAACAGCCAGAGTGCAGAAGAACAGAGGCGATGGGTAAACCTCTGCCCATCAGGCACTCCTCCCGCAGCTGTGCTTGTGTTGCCAAAATGGCACGTACCTTGGGCACACACAGCCCATCTGATGGCATGGTGAGGTCACTCCTCCCGGTAGAAAGTGCTCTTCTGCCTCTGCAAGCTGCACGCATGCCCATGGGCTTTGCTGATAAACAGCCGTATGTACATCCTTCTGCACAGGTACTTCTGTATCTGCATGCTCGAATCACAGAGTACTTGTGCCCAAGTACACACTGCACGTACCTACATGTGTATGCCACACATAGGAGCATAACCCATCCCATACCACAACTTCATCCCACAAACACCCAAGGACGTACACACAAGTGCCATGTGACAGCAGCACCCATCTCAACAAGTGCTCCTCTGGCTGTAGGCTGGGGACTCCTTTATGCATCCCATGAAAGGCCACCAGGAGAATCCACCTGAGAAGGCTGTTTGCTATAAGGAAGACTGGACATTTTTAAGCAGTCTGTAAATCAGCCCTCCAAGCCATATCAGGTAAACACACCTGATATTTTGGCTGTTGCATACAGTATGTGGAGCATCGCCTTTCAGGTAGGTGACACTTTCTTGTCCTGTGCTCTTCAGAGAAGACACCTCTATTGCACACCAGGGCATGATGTCCCCAAGCTCCCTCCCTCATCCAAGATCTGATGGAGGCACTGCTTCCCCAAGACCTGCCCCTAATCCGGGGGGGCTGGCAGCTTGCTTTTCAGGAGGAAGACACTGCTGCTTTGTTTATCTGCCCACAACCTATATTTCTCTCCTGTCTTACTTCTGAATTATTTCCTTGGCTCGTTATTGAAAGCTGTTCAAATACCAGAAAGATAATGGGGAGAGGAAGGACTTTTTCCCTATGAATAAGATCCAGGCACTGGTTCAGATCCTCCACCCCGTGACAACTAACTACGCTGCTGTCCCTCTTGCCAGCTTTCAGATGAATGTTGTTGTTTTAAATGACACTTGAGAAACTTGTTTCATGTTTTATTTTTGGTGACACTTTTGGACAACCCTTTTGAAAAGAAACTGTCATTGGCACCTTTCAACTCACCCAAAACTTGCTCAGCAAAACATTTTGATACACACTGCGACTAAAAATATTTTCAAGAAACACAACAATAATCTCAAACGGGGAGCAAATGGGTTTGGATTTCCGTGATCAGGAAATGGTGTTGAAAATGTCTGTGCTGCTGAACAAATGCATTCCTTTTCGACCCAGCTTGATTTTGTCCAGGTTTTGCCCAGGAACGGGGCGGGGTGTGCCGCTGCCCTGGTGCCTGGATGCAGGCTCGTGACCTCTGTGCAGCAAAATGCCTCTTCTGCTGACTTCGAGCTTTAGCAACCCTTCTTTGCCTTTGCAGCAGGGCCTGAGGTCTCTCCCAGCTTTTGGACAGGCAATATGAAGTGGCCATGGTTTTAAATGTCACCAAAAAAAAAAAACCCTCAACAGAAAAAAAGCGCCTTACCTTTGCAGGCCATTAAGGGCTCGCTCTTGCCCTGCGAAGTCAATGGGACTTTTGCCATTGCCCGTGGTAAGAGCAGAGCTGGGCCCTAATGGAGTGCCGCTATTGGAAAACCCCGCAGGCGCCGGCCCTGTGCTAAAGCCGCAAAGCTGGGACGGGCTATTGCCGGAAAAAAAACCCTCAACAGAAAAAAAGCGCCTTACCTTTGCAGGCCATTAAGGGCTCGCTCTTGCCCTGCGAAGTCAATGGGACTTTTGCCATTGCCCGTGGTAAGAGCAGAGCTGGGCCCTAATGGAGTGCCTGTATTGGAAAACCCCGCAGGCGCCGGCCCTGTGCTAAAGCCGCAAAGCTGGGACGGGCTATTGCCGGCTGTGCAGGAGGGGGAGAGGAGGGAAAGCAGCCTGCTGGGATGCCGAAAGCCTGGGGCAGCGTAGGGCCAGCTGGGGCAGCCCCGCTGGGGCAGGTAAAGGGGGACAGCAGAGGGATGGGGAGGGATGCCGAC